GGGGTTATGTTCGGGGTAATGCCTGAAGTGCATTTTCAAACTGTTTTCATGACTGCACCACAGTTTTCTCAAAAAAAGAAGTACATGAGGGCGTGCCTGCGACCTCTTTTTTTTTTTCAACGTCAGCGAGGGCGTACCTACGTCTGACAGGGATAAGAGCCCTTGTTTGGTGTAGGGGTCCCAGGATCGATGGCTCACATCTTATTCATGGGGAGCTACACGTGCCGCGAACCAGGCTCAGCGCCCCTTGTCTAAAACAAAATGTATGATTTTTTTCAAGCCCCTTTGTGGACAACTACTTCCTTCTAGGCCTGCCAATATCTCCACCTTCTGCCAATATCTCCACCAGGTCCTTCCTTCATCTTACCGACGCTGGGCAACATCCTTGTCTTTTTCCAGGGAATAAAGAACGAGCAACAGGCGTGGAGAAGAAGGTTCCGGAAGACTGGAACTATGGAGGTGACACTCGCGACAGCTGCCTTGGTTACAGGGGCAGGAGGGGGAATTGGTCGAGCAATCACGCTGCGCTTGGCCGAGCTGGGAGCAAATGTGACTGTGGTAGACATCTCAGAGGCTGGGGGAGCAGAAACCGTTCGGCTTATCGAGGACATGAGGAAGGAAGAGGCTGCGGCACGAACAGGAGGCGGAAGGGCTATTTTTGTGAAGTGTGATGTTGCATTCCCTCAACAGCTTGCTCAGGCCTTCGCTGTGCACATGGACACTTTTAACCGCCTAGACATCTGCATCAACAACGCAGGAATCGTAGGCGATCTTGGGTTTGTGCCGAAGCCTGACGCACCCAAGCAATCGAAAGCGGGCCCCTTGCTGATGCCATCTGAGGGCCTCCGATGGACCCGAATGATTGACATTAACCTGAAGGCTGTGGTTGATGGTGTGCGGTTGGCGATTGAATGCATGGAAGCAAGCAAGGTTGCCAGCAGTGAACAAGGGAAGAGCAAGAGCCCCAGGGCCATAGTAAACCTAGCGTCTGCTGCCGGGATCGTTCCGTTGCCTGCGGTACCTGTGTACTCAGCAACCAAAGCAGGTGTGGTTATGCTGACACGAAGTCTTGCACACCTGCAGAAAGACAGAGGTATCAGGGTCTGTGCATTTTGTCCATGCGTCGTAGACACTGGTTTGACCCGCTCAGCCCTGGCAGAAGATCCGACGACCGAGACGATGTTGATCGAACACGGAGGCTTCATTGCAATGGACACAATTGTGGAGGGCATAATGAAGCTCATCACGGATGACGGGAACGGGGGCTCTGCGATAGGAGTAACACCACGTGATGGCTACTTCTACGTAAAGTTTAAGGACCACATGGGTCCAGACATTGAGGACCCCCACTCTGGAATTGCGGCCCCCAAACCAGGGAACAACATGGCTTCTGCAGGGGGGGGTAGCTCATAGCATGTCATGATCATGCCGACTCTTCCTGCGCAATTCATAAACTTTAAGGTTGTGGTCACACAGTTGTCATCAGACTTTCTGGAGACTATCTTGATATTGTTGATGGAGCAGTGTACCACGCATTGCAGTACACAGCAGGGGCATGTCCCACGATCGACTTGATACACAATCCAAGTAAATAGTCTTCACAACGACCAAGAGCAACTAGATCGAAGCCAAGGCACGAGAGAGAAGGAGACAAATGGGAGGCAAGAGAGAGAGAGAGAGAGAGAGAGAGAGAGAGAGAGAGAGAGAGAGAGAGAGAGAGAGAGAGAGAGAGAGAGAGAGAGAGAGAGAGA